GTAGACAGTTGAATAGGAACCATACGAATAGGTTTACTCTCCTAGCAGTCAAACTGGAACAACATACAATAAATCCTTCCCCCAATAATGAGACGACACTTCACTTTGAGGGTTAAAACAGGAACTCCCTGTACTGTCACATACAGTCTCTTTTATTCCCAATCCACAAACATAGTATAGCCCACAGGGCGTTACAAAACAACCAATCACATCACAGTTGCATCCCACATATTCCCTCCCCTTATCCTGAGAGGAAACTCAATTACACATACAGTTAAAACATACTTTCTACCCAACTTTCATAACTCTAAAACTATACATCACATTCACATAAAATTACATATTCACAATCAATCCATTCAGGGGAACAACATATTCAAAAATGGCACAAATCAGACAAAGGGTTCAAAAGTTAGTAAAAAGTCCTTTGTGACTAAATGAAGCATGGCTTTCTGGCCCAAACCAGTTTCAGAGTCTTCTATCCTGGAGAGTAATTCAATTATCTCCCAGGATAGACACAAGACTCCATTAAGCACATGGTTGCAAAAGACACAAAACACTTTAAAATACATAAAGTCACATTTACACATAACACACAGACATTTCACATATCCCCAGATAGCTGGGATCTGAGTGCACATTATTAGATGAATGGCACTCAGATCCCACAAATAAGCCTTTCTGCAGGGGAAATAAACGGTTTAACCTGCAGGGCCATAGTCCAAAGGGAGCAGGCGAGCAACCAGGCTTCTCCAGTTCACAGTGGCGAGGTTGGTTTCGCCACACTTCTCCCCTTTACCAACTAGACTAACAGGGTATCTGACCTCCTGCCAGTCAGTGCCCCGGTTAGTCCAGCAACCCACCCACAAAACAGAAACAGCAGTACAGCCCACCCACAATAACTGGTTACTACACCTGGGTAGAGGAGAACTTTGTCCATGTCCAGGTGCCTCACCACGACTGTGTGGGCAGCTGTTAGGCTGCCTTGGTGGGTTGCTGAGTGGGCAGAGACCAGCGGTACTCTGCCCTGATGCCAGTGCTACCACGGATGTAGCCTGGTGGGAGCCTGGTTGTGGGAGGTAGAGACCGACTGTCTCCCCTCTGGATACACCGCTCTGTGGCTGGGGAACAGGACCAACTGTCCCTACCCCTTGTGCTGTAAGTGCAGAGACTACAGTCCCATCTGCACTGTTGGGGGGTGTAACATCTCCCCTTGCTGGGTTAGGCTGCCGCTGGAGAGAGGGTGTAACAAGCTCCTCTCTCTGAACTGTAAACTGCGGCTGGGGAGAGGGGGTATCAGGCTCCTCTCCCTGACACTCTCTCTGCTGGTGGAGAGGGGGACCAGCTGTCTCCCCTTTCATTATTTTGTCCTGTGGTTGGGGTGCGAGACTGGCGGTCTCTGCTCCCTGCAGGACACTCTGCCGCTGGGGAGGAAGGACGGCACCTTCAGCTCCCTGGGGTACACACTGCCGCTGGGGAGGAAGGACTGCACCTTCAGCTCCCTGGGGTACACACTGCCGCTGGGGAGGAAGGACGGCACCTTCAGCTCCCTGGGGTACACACTGCTGCTGGGGAGGAAGGACGGCACCTTCAGCTCCCTGGGATGCACACTGCCGCTGGGGAGGAAGGACGGCACCTTCAGCTCCCTGGGGTACACACTGCCGCTGGGGAGGAAGGACGGCACCTTCAGCTCCCTGGGGTACACACTGCTGCTGGGGAGGAAGGACGACACCTTCAGCTCCCTGGGGTACACACTGCCGCTGGGGAGGAAGGACGGCACCTTCAGCTCCCTGGGTTACACACTGCCGCTGGGGAGGAAGGATTGCACCTTCAGCTCCCTGGGATACACACTGCCGCTGGGGAGGAAGGACGACACCTTCAGCTCCCTGGGGTACACACTGCCGCTGGGGAGGAAGGACGACACCTTCGGCTCCCTGGGTTACACACTGCTGCTGGGGAGGACAGACGACACCATCAGCTCCCTGGGGTACGCACTGCCGCTGGGGAGGAAGGACGGCACCTTCCGCTGGGGCAGCCTGTAGAAAGTCAGGCTCAGGGGAAGGAAACAAGGGAGGACAGAGGCCAGCGGCGCTCTGCCCAGTTGCCAGCTCTTCTGCTGGGGGTCAGGGAACAAAGGAGTTGGCTGGGGAGGAGAAATATCACTTACCTCCCCCTGGTACTCCGGCTGCTGCTGGGGGGGGAGGTCGATGCTCTCCACTTTCTGTAACTCCAGCTCTAGTTGGGGATCTGGGCCGGTTGCCCAGCATCCCTGTAGGGCCGGTGGAGAGATCGCGGTCCCATCTCCACCTGCCTGCAGGGGGTCCTCCCAGGACCAGTCTATGAGGTCCTCTACCTCGGGTACCTCTGGTTGCTGTTGGGGAGGGAGACCGGTTGTCTCTTCCTCCAATAACACATTCTGCCGCTGGGGAGTGAGACCGACTGTCTCCCCTCCTGTAAAACATACTGCCGCTGGGGATCTGGGCCGGGTGCCCAGCATCCCTGTAGGGCCGGTAGAGAGACCTCGGTCCCATCTCCACCGGCCACCTCGGTTTCTTCCTCGTCCCACTCTACCTGTGGCTGGAGTTTCTCCCAACGTGCCCACTGGCCTTCCCTCAGCGCCCTGTGTTGTAGGTTCCGGGTCACCATGTCCCACACGAACCGCACGTATTTCTCCTCTGGATTGGGTCCGTAAAACTTCAGGTGCAACCCTACCATCGTGCCAAACTCTAGTACGGAGTAGCTATACGCCATGCTTGCTGTAGCCACTGCTGGTTCCATTATGTTGCTGAAGATAAGGACGCTGCACAACTCCACACGTTACCGGTGTCTCAGAGCTGCTTCTCCTCGCACTAGGATGCCATCCCGCCGCTTGCCACCAATGTAACGGATCGCCTGGCACCCCGACTGGGTACCTCCATTAAAGGATGCTCCTAGCGCTTCCTGAGGACTCCAAGCACTGCAGCAGACACCACAACCACCGAACCGGAGAAGCATATGAATCCTCTCAAGCATATGAATGCTGTAGACAGTTGAATAGGAACCATACGAATAGGTTTACTCTCCTAGCAGTCAAACTGGAACAGCATACAATGAATCCTTCCCCCAATAATGAGACGACACTTCACTTTGAGTGTTAAAACAGGAACTCTCTGTACTGTCACATACAGTCTCTTTTATTCCCAATCCACAAACATAGTACAGCCCACAGGGCGTTACAAAACAACCAATCACATCACAGTTACATCCCACATATTCCCTCCCCTTATCCTGAGAGGAAACTCAATTACACATACAGTTAAAACATACTTTCTACCCAACTTTCATAACTCTAAAACCATACATCACATTCACATAAATTACATATTCACAATCAATCCATTCAGAGGAACAACATATTAAAAAATGGCATGAATCAGACCAGGGGTTCAAAAGTTAGTAAAAAGTCCTTTGTGACTAAATGAAGCATGGCTTTCTGGCCCAAACCAGTTTCAGAGTCTTCTATCCTGGAGATAAGTAATTCAATTATCTCCCAGGATAGACACAAGACTCCATTAAGCACATGGTTGCAAAAAGACACAAAGCACTTTAAAATACATAAAGTCACATTTACACATAACACACAGACATTTCACATATCCCCAGATAGCTGGGATCTGAGTGCACATTATTAGACGAATGGCACTCAGATCACACAAATAAGCCTTTCTGCAGGGGAAATAAACGGTTTAACCTGCAGGGCCATAGTCCAAAGGGAGCAGGCGAGCAACCAGGCTTCTCCAGTTCACAGTGGCGAGGTTGGTTTCGCCACATCTAGCATTAACAGTTCCCAAAAGGGAGGATGCAGATAAAGTAGGAAGTACTCACATTCAGTGCATAATGAAACTGATCTTTCTGGCACACCCACTGCACACAGCAGTTGATACTTTTTTGCAATCAAGGGCACATATATATTTCAGCCCAACCAGTTCACATTCATTGCTCCTGACGACGGCGTGCTGACACGCCGAAACGTGCGTCGAGCTAATTGTTTATTATTTTCACTTTACTTAACTTG